TGAAACAGTAACCAAAAACCTCCCAGAAAGCAAAAGTCCAGGACCAGATGGCTTTTCTGGTCAACTCTGCCAAACTTTCAAAGAAGATTTAATGCGTATCCTCAAACTCTTCCAGAAATTGAAGAGGAAAGAGTTTCCTAACTCATTATACAAGGCCAATATTACCCTGATACCAAAACCAGACAATGATGACACAAAAAAAGAAAATTATAGGCCAATACATCTGATGAACATAGATGTAAAAATTATCAACAAAATATTAGCAAACTGAACACAACAATACGTTAAAAAGATTATACACCATGATCAAGTGGGACTTACTCTAGGGATGCAAGGATGGTTCAACATCCACAAGTCAATCAATGTGATAAAACCACATTAACAAATTACAGGACAAACATGATCATCTCAATAGAAGCATAAAAAGCATTTGACAGGATTCAACATCCATTTATTATAAACACTCTTGATAAAATGTAAACAGAAGGAAAACATTTCAACATAATGAACGTCATATATGACAAACCCACAGCTAACGTCATACTCAATGGTGAAAACTGAAAGGTTTTCCTCTAAGCTTGGGAACAAGACAAGGATGCCCACTGTCACCATTTTTATTCAACATATTACTGGAAGCCCTAGCCAGAGTATTTAGGCAAGAAAAAGAAATAAAAGGCATCCAAATTAGAAAGGAAGAGGTAAAGCTGTCACTGTTTGTAGACAACATGATTTCATATAGAAAACCAACAGACTTCAAAAAAGTTATTAGAAACAATAAATGAATGTAGTAAAGTTGCAGGATATACAATCAATATACAAAAATCTTTCGCATTTCTATATACTAACAATGAACTAGTAGAAATAGAAACTAAGAAAATATCCCATTTATAATCACAACAAAAAGAATAAAATACCTAGGAATAAATTTAACCAAGGAGGTGAAAGACCTGTACACTAAAAACTATAAAACTTTGTTGAAAGAAATTGAAGAAGATACAAAGAAATGGAAAGATAGTCCATGCTCATGGATTGGAAGAATAAACAGCGTCAAAATGTCCATATTGCCTAAAGTAATCTAGAGATTTAATGTAATTCTTGTCAAAATGCCGATGACATTTCCCACAGAAGTAGAACAAAAAATCCTAAAATTTTTCTGGAACTGCACAAGACACCAAATGGCCAAAGCAATCCTGAGAAAAAAAGAGCAAAGCTGGGAGAATCACTCTCCCTGATTTCAAATTACACAACAAAGCTAACATAATCAAACAGCATGGTATTGGCAGAAAAACAGACACAAAGATTAATGGAACAGCACTGAGATCCCAGAAATAAACCCACACATAGGTGGATGGCTAATTTATGATGAAGGAGCCAAGAACATGCAATAGAGAAAGGAAAGTCTCTTCAATAAATGGTGCTGGGAAAACTGTATAGTCACATGAAAAAGAATGAAACCATACCACTACCTTACACCATACATAAAAATTAACCCAAAGTGGATTAATGACTTGAATGTAAGATGTGAAACCATAAAACTCCTAGAGGAAAACATAGGCAGTATGCTCTTTTACATTGGTCTTGGCAGTATCTTTTTGGATACCGTGTCTACTCAGGCAAGGGAAACAAAAGAGAAAATAAACAAATGGGACTACATCAGACTAAATAGCTCCTGCATAGCAAAGAAAACCATTAACAAAATGAAAAGACAACCTACTGAATGGGAGAAGATATCTGCAAATCATGTATCCAATAAGAGGTTTATATCCAAAATACATAAAGAACTCATACAACTCAACAACAAGAAAACAACCCAATTGAAAAATGCTCAGAGCGGGGGCCTGTCCGGTGGTGCAACTGTTGGGTTTGCATGTTCTGCTTTGGCAGCCCAGGGTTCACTGGTTTGGATCCCAGGTGTGGACCTATGCACTGCTTGTCAAGCCATGCTGTGGCATCCCACATATAAAGTAGAGGAAGATGGGCACAGATGTTAGCTCAGGGCCAGTCTTCTTCAACAAAAAGAGGATTGGCAGCAGATGTTAGCTCAGGGTTAATCTTTCTAAAAAAAAATACTCAGAGGATCTGAATAGAATTTTTTTTCCAAAGATGACATACAGATGGCCAACGGGCACATGAGAAAATGCTCATAACTAATTATTAAGGAAACGTAAATCACAACCACAATGAAATATCACCTCATGTCTGTTAGAATGGCTATTATCAAAAGGCAAGAAATAAGTGTCAGAGAGGATGTGGAGAAAAGAGAACATTTATACACTGCTGGTGGGAATGCAAAATGGTGCAGCCACTCTGGAAAACAGTATGGAGATTTCTCAAAAAATTAAGAGTAGAAATACCATATTATCCAGCTATTCCACATCTGGGTGTTTATCCAAGGAATACAAAATCACTAATTGAAAAAGATATATGTAGCCTTATGTTCATTGCAGCATTACTTACGATAGCCAAGACAAGGAATCAACCTAAGTGCCCATTGATGGATGAATGGATAAAGAAGATGTGGTATATGTATAATGGAATACTACTCAGCCATACAAAAGATGAATCTTTGCCATTTGCAACAATACAGGTGGACTTTGAGGGTACTATGTTGAGTGAAATATGCCAGATGGAGAAAGACAAATACTGCATGATTTCACTTATATGTGGAATATAAAAAACACAAATGAACAAACAAAATAAAACCAAACACATAGATACAGAGAATATGTTGGTGGTTACCAGAGGGGAAGGGGGCTGCGGGGGAGGGCATAATGGGTAAAGGTGGTCAATTGTATGATGACACATGGAAATTAGATTTTAATGTTGAGCACACGGTACTATATGCAGAAGTCAAATTACAATGCTCTACACATGAAACTTACATAATGTTATAAACTGATGCTAGCTCAATAAAAAAATGGCTAAGGTTGTAAATTTTATGTTATGTATATTTTACCACAATAAAACAACTGGGGAGAAAAAGCAATTTTGTTTTATTTATTTATTTATCTTTTGCTGAGGAAAATTCACCCTGAGCTAACATCTGAGACAATCTTCCTCTATTTTGTATGTGGTTCACCACCACAGCATGGCCACTGCTGAGTGCTGTGGATCCATGCCTGGGAACTGAAGCCTGGATGCCAAAGCAGAGTGCACTGAACTTAACCACTAGGCCATGGGGTTGGCCCTCACATTTATTTTTTAAGCAATTTATGACCATGCAGACAAAGCATAGAAATCTATAACATTGTTTATATCCAAAATAGTTTTGTTAATGTAAAAATGTAATTTGCTACTTTCTTCTTGAGGCTTTTCTTCTTTAACTTAACATTAAAAAATACAATATCAGGGTCCTGGAAATCAAAGAAATAGAATTTCTGTTACGGGCATTTTCTCTAAGCCATGGGTTACTTTTTGGAACTCATCATTGCCATATAAATGTTCCAGTTCCAAGTTCTTCCAATGATTAAATCTGTAGCTTTGAGCAACATATTTTGTCTTTTTGAGACTTCATTTTCTTATTTATATGTCAAAGACACTACTATTACATGTGACGATGACTTTAAAGGGTAATTCTTAATAACCATCAAATACTGTGATAATGCTTCCTGCAACTGTTAACCCTATATATAAATATAAGGAATTCTTAACATCGTGCTTCTTTTTTCCTTCTACCTCTTGGGTATATTAAAGGTCAGGGCTTACCTTAGATGAATTTTAGACCTCTCCACCTAAATTTACCCAGGAATCTCCATCTTAATTTGTCACAAACTGATATCACCCCTGTACCTTCCCTTTCTTCTGTATTTCACAATTTGGTTAATGGCACCACCATGTCCCCACGTTAGAAAGCTGGGAGTTATACTAAATTTTTCCTTCTTTCTTTCCTCCTACATCAAATAATCCAGTAATTCCAGCCATTTTTGTCTTAATTGCTCTCAAAAGTGTCCTCTCTTCCCTATTCTTACTACTTATTTCAAGCCCTTTTGAATTAGGGTCTGGACTATCTCAGCTGTGTCATAACAGATATCCTATTCTCCTTTGCCCTCTCCTTAAATCCATCCTCCACACCACCACCAGAGTTATTTCTCTAACGTGTAATCAGATCACTTCGTCAGTATGCTTAAAATTCTGTAAAGGTTACCTCTCACCTCTTGGAGGAAGTCTAAATTTACTATATGGCAGACAAGGTTCCTGTTTATTCTTCCAGTCTCACTTCCCATGAGCCACCAGTCACACCATGTACTATATGCATGCCAAACTATGGGTGGTTCCCCAAACACACTATGATCTTTCTCAGTTGACCTTAAGAATAGGAACTTGAGAATGGAAGGGTCAATATTATTCATAGAAGCATGAGGCTTCTTGGGTGAGGTAGGTCTTGAGTATAGAGAAGGTACCAAAAAGAATAGGGTGCCTGTATACACAAGCAAGAAAATGTAGGGAAAAAGAGGGGAGACTCACCTAGCTGGAGCAGAGGGTTGGATTTAAGTAATAAAAAATAAGTCATATACTGAGATAGTGTTGACAAATTGTGGAGGTCTTTAAAAAGGTCTGGTGGGTCAGCATGGCTTGATTGCCTATATTTCCTGTAATCCTCAAAGTGTGTGTGGTAATTATTAGTCACAAAGAGGTGTTTGGTTTTTTTTTTTTTTTTTTTTAACATACCTCTGGAAGCCTAGCCCGTTTCTAACTACTAAGGAAAGAAATGTAGTTTCTTTCTATTTATTTCACTATACTTCTCAGCTCTCTTGTCATAAACTATTAAAATTTTATACCACTTGTTGAGTTGCTTTCTGGCAGCTCCAGAGATAGCCTCATTACATTCAGTTCTTTCATCTCTAAAACTTCTTGTAAAGGATATATGTTATCAGTTTTCCTAGGTTGGCAAGGTTTGATGGAATAAATAGCAAGGTAAGCAAACACTGCACGATACTGATGAGTAAACTATTTTAATTTTGTGTACCACAGTCACAAAACAATAACAATAATAAACAACATTACCAATAAAACAGAAATTTATTATTGGTGATATTAAATCTAGAGTGGCCATCACAATATTAAAAGCATCTGTCATAAGATTTTTCAAAAGTTAAGACCATCTTTTTCTGGAGACAGAGACTTATACAAAAGGTGAAGAGAATTTCTGATTGAAAAATATGACTGTATTTTTGAGTTATTAATAATTCCAAATTATTTTTATATGGTTGCTAGAAAGGACCACAGTGTGTCCTTTTCCTAATTCCAGAGTCTGCCAGAAGCAAATAAGATGAATGGGACAATTGTCACATGGTGTTTTGAAGCAACATTTTTGGCCCTAATAGACAATAAAGGCATGGTCATGTAAAGGGGAGGGGATGTGAGAACGAACATATAAGAAACATTGCTCAGGGATCTCTGCAATTTTTCGAAGTTATTTGCTCATATCCTCAAAACCTTCTTGGCTGTGCCTTTGTCTTTTCCATCTCAAGATTTTCTTTTCATTAATCAAGGGCCAAGGCATTGTCTGCTACCTGTCTGGAGGTTGAGCTGCAACAATAGGATAAAAAGAAACTTGGGAGTTAAAAGTGGTAATAAAAGAAAAATGTATTTTTATCCTTAGACTACCTTACATAGCTATTTAATAGAAAATATTGGACATTATGACCCTTGAAAGCTTCAAACCCATGACCAAGAAACTACTATGATCACCTTACAATCACAGGTATGATACTGTCTCTTAAAATACTAAGACAGAACCACAGTAATGCTTATTTTGGGACCTAGGTGTCTGCTAATATTAGGTTAATACAATGTTTACTATACTTGATACCTTTAATTACATGTTATTTTCAATATGTTAAATTAATTGCAAATTTTCAATTATAGGCTCTGATCCTTTTTCAGTTGGTAGCTGTGTGGTCATAAAAACGTTACTGGACTACATAATGTCTCAGTTTCTTCATATGTAAAAAAGGGATAATAGGGATAATTATGTAACTTCACAGGGCTGTTGAGAGGATTAAATGAGGTAATACATGTAAAACTCAAGAATGCATGTCAGCTAGTAAGTGCTACTAAATGCTGGTTATTAAACGGCTGCCTGAGGATTTACCTTGAATTTTTCAATTTCAACATTAATATCTCCACAATATTTTGTAATGTCACATTATATTATATTTATAAACTATATTTGAGTAGTATGAAGCCATGAAAATAATCATATTGAGAACTGAATTTTTCTGACCTATTGCTTAAACTTTCATAATTAGCAATCTTGGTCACTTTTTTCTGATTCAGAACCTTTTGCAACTACCTAGAAATGGACTTTTCAGGGCCTAGAACAAAACTTTCCTTGCCTTGTTATCTATCACTATGTAGTCAGGCTGGATGAACGGTGCTTCTTGGTTGTGACTAGTGTCCATTGGTGGTATAGTATTTATGGGATGAAATAAAATAGTGTTGGTGCTTGTTTCTTCTGTTGTTTTCACTTCACTTACTGCTTGACTAGCCAGATTTATATTCAGGAAGTATCAGGATAGCAAGTGTGGACAAACATAGATTGTTTCCAACTTATAAAAAAGATATATTCCAGAAATTCATTTATAATTCAGTTTTTTGTAATAAAAATTATTTTCTTATTAAAATCACTGTAAAAACTCAGGTGGCTGTGGTCCCCAAAGTAACCCAAACCAGAGAAAGTTTTCTGTCGGGTATACACATGCATTTGTGTGTGTGTTTGTATAGGCTCTCTGTGAGAAAGTAAAAAGGAGGTGGTAGGGATATATGTATATATCAGGAGGCTAAGATTCCAGAGTCAGTAGCCAGGTAGTACAGTTGGCTTAGAATAGCTTGACAGCTTGGTTACTTTCTGAATGGAGCAAGAAGATTTGGGAGACAGAGTGACTTCAAAACGGGAAAAACAGAAGCTAGTAGTGAATAAATGAGAGTTTGTTAACATAGGGTGCTTGTATTTTTTGGTATTTGCAACTTTGAAAAGTTTGCCATTGTGTGTGTGTGTGTGTGTGTGTGTGAGATGAGATAGGGGCAAGTCAGGAAGTAAAAAAGATAATGTAAAAGAAAAATACTTCTTTTACAAATGGACTTAGACTAGCTAGAAAATACCAGGATTCAATGATATGATTAAAAATGTAGAGATTATTGCAATCATATTTATTATTCCACAATATCTGTCTTTCTCCATATAATACTACTTCCTTTGCCTTCACCTCCAATATACTCCTTTCTTACTGCCATCTGCTTATCCACACTCTTCATTTTATTGAGGTACTCTATTACACTGGGTCAACAGTCTCTATTCCATAAAAATTCCACTTAATGAATCCAAGTATCTTTAGAAGGGGTTGGTTGACATGACTCATGAAAGGGAAAACTGAAATTTCATACTTTGCTTCTTTAATCATTTCACATTTATCGTCTTTGACACCCAAATTCAGACTTAAAAACTTTGGAAAATGTAACCTATTACTTGTCCCTCTAAGTAGAAGATGGAGAGAATTCAGACACAGCTGCCTTAGTTTTTTCAAACCTGGAAAACATGGCAGAATATATCGTATCCACACTTGTGTCATGCTAGCAAACATTTCTGGGATTTAAAATTCTAGTGGAACCTTCTTTTTGAGAATAAAATGCCTCTTTAGTCAATTATTTAAGACTTATGATGTGGAGTGACAGTCTTAAAGTTCTCCTAATTTAGTCTCTATCAATATTTGGACTCAAGTTGATTTGGTCTAGTTTTTTCTATCTGCCTGGATATGATGCATCAGTGATCCTGTTGCTACATTTGAGGGGTGTGGGCCAAGGAACTTTGAGTCACCAGGGAAAATATATGATTCTGAAATTCTTAGAAAATGGTCATTGGCACAGATTTTCTGAAACAGGAGCAGTAACAAAGTGCTCTTTACCTTGAGCTTGGAGCAACCAGTTTTTCTTTGGATTGCTCACCTGGTCATTGTAGGTTTGTGGTTGGTTCAGAAAACTACACATGGTGTAGATAAAGGGAGAAGACTGGATTCAATCTGAGACCTTGATCTTTTAGCAGATTGACAATTGTTTTCTCCCAAATTATTCAGAGAACAATGGGCAGGTCACTTTTTTAGCAGAAGAACTTTTTGATTTTTCTCAACATTATTTTAGTTACATTCAATTTGAGATCTTTTACTAATTCATTTTAAAAGGAGACTCCAACTTAGTTCACTCTATCTCAATTGAACACTTTTAGGATCTTATCTTATCTAACAAGTAATCCAGCAATAGGACACCATGTAAAAGCTTTAGTATTATGAAGGAATATAATCAGATTGATATATAAAAGAGTGACTTTATAGAAAGATTTGGTGCACAGATGGCCTCAGTAAAGAATTTTAACAATTAACAGACCTTGAGCAAGTTGCCAGTATCTTTGGATAGAAGATGGTTTTGTTGTATCTTAAATTAAAAATCCCCAGAAAACATGTCTTCCACTGTAAGAAAACACAGCATATTCCTAAAAAGCTAGAAACGGAAAAATTGTTTGTATATAAATATATTTAATTAAGAAGCTATTAGGCAGGACATTGCTTTGATTATGTGGAGTATGTGGGTACTAAATTTACCTGCCTACAGGTTGGGCTTAACTAAGATCTAGTTCAATGAATATTAAGCAGAAGAATTAGACCTTTTCATGTATCCCCATGGTCATATGAGCAAGAAGGAAATGATGCACTGGGTGGACTATTTTGAAATGAAAGTATGAAAACTTTTGGTCACTTCAGCCAATCTTCCTTTTGAAGACATTCTACTGCAAACTTAGCCTCTCCTGAACAAAGACTTATCTGTAGGCTTCCTCAAATATTCAAGATACTTATAACCAAAAGCATTTCTGTTGGCTAATTTTTGAAGCAATTACTAGAAGTACTAATTTAAGAGAAATTTGGTGCAAAAAGCACAACACATTTGATTGGTACGTTCAGGCATCTGTTGCTAGGAACGCCTATATAACTCCTTACTTACAAAATTCTGGTTATAATAAACAGTACTATATGAACATTTTTCTTCAGTGTCACTATTGAATCATCTTTCTTCTTTAAAAAATCTACCATAAATCAGAAATGGCTACTTCTTTGAATGACCCTAATGCAATTCTTCTCAAGTACATTAGAATCTGTCAAGGACTTAAAATAACTAAATCCTTGAGTAAATTTTATATATAAATAAAGGCTACTTTCACAATTTAACTTTCAGAAAGTAGATTGACTATTAATTTTCTCTCTTTTATTATGGAATCAAATTATTTCTACAAAATTGTAAATAACTTATAGATAACTTATTAAATGACACTAGGCTCTTAGTAGCATAGTTCTGACACCACTATCCATGGAAGTCAATGTTAACCTTCACAAAAAAAAGATAATTTCAGGAATTACGACCTTGTTTGGTTATTTTTGAAAAGTGTAACACAGAATAATAATCCACATATGTGTTTCCAACTACTTTAGTACGTGGGTGACATGTTGTTATCTGAATATCCAAAATGTTTCTAACCATTCTGGAAAGTCAGTGAGATGCTATTTTATTTGTCTTCATATAACTTCTACCCTTAAACCGTCACTTGTTTTCCTATTAAGTAGGCTGCGTGAACTTTGAAAGGCACTATGTTTTTCATTTTGTACATTTTTTGAGCCTTCTCTACTCTTTAATTATTAAGTGCCTGTTGAAGGAATGAATGAAGATGGTACAATTGGCTTGACTATATGTTCTGATGTTGATTTTGTTGTTTGGTTCACTTATGGTTGGTAGAAAAGTTTTAATTCCTTTAAAGTGAGCTTCTCTCACTTCTTAAATTGCTTGAATGGGAAAAGCACCTCTGTTATCCCCACTGTAGTTGTGATGGAAATATGGACAAGGATGTACTAAACTAGGAAAATGTGGAAATATCAAAGCTTATAAGGGAAGACAATCATCCATTCTTCCAGAAAAATGCTTTGCTAGTGAAGGCATGCAAAATACAGTTTCCCAAGATATTAATGAATGTATTGTGAAGTCTGTCCGTCTACAATGAAAATAAAGTAAGAAGTTGCATATATTTCCATTATCTAGTCATGGTCAAAAGGTTCAACCGTATGTACCCAGGGCATAGTATTTATAGGACTAGATATTTTATTAAGAGCTACTTTTTAGTATTAGATTTTTGGAGAATCAAATATCCTTCATTTGAAAATTTTGGTTTTTTGGGGGGGAAATTATCCTACTTTGCAGGTAGTTTTTATCTAAAATCAACATAATATGCTTTACATACCACGACTTAGGAAACATAGTTCTTAGATCCTACGATTTCAACTGAAAAACGTTAGCTACATTCCTTAACTAGTAACCTAAAACATATTATAACCATATTTTCATTCAACCAGAAACACAAAAGCTATAAAATAAAACATTTTAAGTGCTTTCAGACTACTGAAAAAGTTCATTTGTGAAAGACAACTGGGGAAAACATTTCTTTTTTCTAATTTAAGGATTGTCTCTTAGCAATATTATTTTTATTACTTATAATTAGCCAACACTACCCTTAAGTTTACATAAGGAGAAACTATAAAACCGTACTAGGTAATTACAACCGTTTCCAGGGAGGTGCGGTCTCTTGGGAAAATCACAAAATTGTTTTCTATTAAAGTAAAAGCATTAAAGAGATACCAATGTTGTACTTTCATTTTGATTATAAGACTACATGTCTTATTTTAAAAGTACAGTTACATTCAATTACATATTCTAGTAGAAAACAAAGTAATTATTTCAAGTTACACATTTACGCACTTAGATACTACAATTCAAATTAAATGTATTTGTTTATCATGTCTAATGAAGTATGGCAAGGCTAAAATTCAATGTATATGAACTTATGTCTCAATGACAACATGTTGGTAAAGTTTCATCAAAAATAATATTATTTGTTTCTATAAAAAATAGTTTATCAACCATATAGCAATCTTAGTTTTTGCATGCAAATTCAGAGTGCTAGAGGAAATATTTAATACTCATTTAAAAATATAATTTCATTTATTTTCAAGAGAAATAAGATAAAACACATTTTAAGTCAAAAGTAGCAAAGGTTTGGGGTTCTTTGCTCCCTAATATCATGTCACCAAAGTAATTCAAATTCTATTTCTTTAAATGAGAGATTAGAATATCATGGCTATTTCTGGCAGCCTTTTTCATAAAATGGCATTTTTGAGAGATGGTTGTTTTAAAATGTCTTGATCCATGGTATTTAAGTTTCATTTAACTTGATTCTCTCCGCACATAGAGGGAAGGAAACAACACCAGGCCATGTATAGGTGAGAGGAGGTAGGTAAAACATTACTAGGTTGCCTGTGATTAGATTTATAGTTATGAGCTATGCACCCCTGATAGAGTAGTAGAGAAGCCAGCCACAGCGCAATCAGGGCCATTTTGTTGTTTGTCAGCTGTATAGCAGATGGATCTTTCAAATGGAAAACCATGTTGCTGGCTACAGGTCTCAAAGGAGAAGTAATACTGGACACCTTGTCTCCTCTCTTCCATGGATTGCATATCCAAATAAATTTAAAAAAAGGAATTGTATGATCCTGCTCAATGACCTAACACTCTAAATTATAGGAAATGGAGAAGAAATTTACAATCTATACTTATATAAACTTACCTTAAAAAACTGATTCACAGCACCTGAGGATATGGCAAACTTCTCCAAATCTGGTAGTTCAGCTTCTACTATAATAGCAAAACTAGGGAGCAGAATATTTGAATTGGAGTGGAAATTTAAACTGGCAGCACCCTTGATACCAATGGGATTCTGGACTATAGAGAAATCTTTTAAAAAGCCAGAATCCTTGGCATCAAGGATATCCTTGGCAGTGGCATGCTGAAAGTTAGTGGAGTCTATGGAGCCAGCAGAGACTTTGAGCCAGGCACCAAATTTGTGTGCATCAAAAATTGTATAATTTCTACCAAGCTGCGATGAATCAGAAAACTTAGAGGAGGTAAGATTTTCAAGAGTGGAAGCACAATTAAGGCCAGCAGAAAAAGTGGGAGAGTTATCGTAAGAAATATTAGAAATAGACAAATCCGCATCAATTTCCAATTCAGGCTCAGAGAGATTATTAAAATTGTTGATACTAGTAGAATTATGAACATTATGAGTAGTTATGGAATCATAATTGGGGTTGATTACATAGTTGGAGTGAAGGACATGAGTAAATCTAGGGTCATGGTTAGTATCTGAGGCACAGTTGGTGCCAGCACTGTAGCGAGGGCTAATAACACCTCTATAACTAGTGGTGTTGCTGGTGTCAGTGATATTGACAGTGCTAGCTGTAGAGGTGGGTCTGGCAGCATAGCTGTTTCTGGCAATATAGGTGGGACTGATGACAAAGCTAGAACCTAGTGCATGGATAAATCCTGGGACATAGTCAAAGTCTGAGTCATACTTTGGGATAGCTGCATAGTTGTGACCAGCAGCACTGGTGGTCTTTGTATCATAGGAGTCAGCATCCTTGTTAGGACTAATGGCACTGTTTTCACTAGTAGCATTACTAGGCTTGGCATTATGGTTAGAGTCAGAGTCTTTTTTAAGGCCAGGGCTATTATTGTTGGAGCCAGGGCTACTGTTGTTGGTGGCAGGGCTATTGTTGGGGCCAAGGTCATTGATATTGGGGCTAGAGCTGTTGGGACCTGGTCTGATATTTTGGGAGCCAGGGCCATTGTTTTGGAAGCCAGATCCTTTGATGTTAGGGCCAAATCTACTGTTGTTGGGGCCAGGTCCATTGTTAGGGTCAGTACCATTGTTGGCGAAAATGTCATTGCCTGACCCAGTGGCATTGCTGGGCCCAGCATCATTGTTGGAACCAGAAGTGTAGTCCAAGCCAGTTCCATTTTGGAGCCCAGAGGTGTAGCTTGGATTAGCGTCACTGTTGGATTCAGCAGTACAGTTCTGATCAACACCATTGCCTAGGCCAGAGGCATTGTCTGAATTGTTGGTGTGTTTTTCCTCCTCAGAATCAGTGCTATATTTGGAGTTAGCATTATTGTTAGTGGCATTATCAATGTTAGAGTCAGCTCCACTGTTAGAGTCACCATCGCTGCCGGAATCAGCTCCACTTGAAGGGTCAGCATCGCCACTGGGATCAGACCCATTATTTGCATCTGAATCATTTTCAGCATTGCCATCTTTGGGATCAGTGTCATCAGGGTCAGACTTATCTTTGGGATCTTTCTTATCTTTGGTGCTCTTTTCATCTTCAGAGTCTATTTCATCTTCAGGATTTTTCTCATCTTCAGAGTCTGTCTCATCTTCACGGTCTGTCTCATCTTTGAGAAGAGGCTTGTCTTTGGCATTGGCCTTATCTTTGAGATTTCCAGCACTGATAAGTTTAGTCTCATTGTCAGTATTGCCCTCATTTTCAAATTTGGCAATAAGGTTAAACGTGCCCTCACTTTCAAGGCCAGCAACATTGCTAGTATTGATAACATTGTCTGGGTCAGGGGTATTATGGTGGCCCATGGTATTTTGAGGATTCATGGGAAATGTATGGGTAACAGTAGAGCCTATTTGATTTTGGAGAGCTAAGCAACTTTTACAATGTATATAAGAAGTTGAACCTAATGAATATTTAGAGTCCCCCCAGTGTAGAGGGCAGATGTCCACAAGATGCTCAGGATCCAGGGATTGAGATAAGGGGCTGTTCTGCAAAGTCTTGCAGTGTTTAATAGATTTGGGACTCAGAGAATATTTAGAATCCAAAGGAATTTGGAAATGTAAAGGACAGTCAGGGTCTGAATCATCATCAGAATTGATGAGACATTTATGAAAAGGAGAATTATCGATTTCCATGAAACATTTGGAACATATTGGAGCTCCAGTGTCCAAAGGATATGTGTTACTTCTGTGAGTCTTAAGGCGTAGAGCCGACATAGGGCTCATGGAGTTGGAGTGGTAGACAGGTGCTGAAACTTCATAGGTGTACTCCTCAGCACTTAGGTGATGAGTAGGATTCACGTGAGACACAGAACTCTGAAAACTTTGCTGATATCTATAGTCCTTGCAATGACTCTTAGAGAAAGAAATTTTGTGACTGACATTTCTGTGATGCTTGTTATCCACGAATGTGTTTGGGTCTGGAAAAAGGTCGTAGCTGTGCTTTTCCTTTAACTTTTGCTGTGAGTCTTGCTTGTCAGTGAGAGCTTGAGATACCTCTTTGAATCTCACAATCTTGTCATCAGTAAGGTATCTCACAAGTTGACTTCTGGAAACTGTCAGAGAGAGAAGAATAAAATATGAGAAAGGATAACGAATAAGATAGTGAAGTTTGACTTTGACACTCATATTACAACAGAAATCTTTGCAGAGGAAAAAATGTCATTTCCTTCGATGGTTACTGCTATGTGATATTTCAAAAGGAGGCCATGATCCTAAATTTCTGCTCAAGTAGGTGTTATCTTGAGCTTTTTAAGACATAAAAAATGAAACAGATTTATTTATCTGAGAGTTTTATACTATTCAGATTCAGAGAACTTACTCTTTAGAAGATAATTCATTAAATAGCAATTCATTGGCATGACGTGGCCAAAATAAAACTTATTTTACACAACTTGGTTACTACAGATCTCTATTATTTATTTTTCATTTTGCTTTTGGAGATACTAGCAATTTATTCTTTCCTAAGATATAATCCCTGTATTTTATACAATCTCCATATTTGGAGACAAAAATTTCCTTGGGCTTAAGCTGTCAAAATTGCAAAATTTCCTGATAATAAATTTATTATAAAGAACTGATTTCTGGAGCTATCAAGAGCTCACTGGCACATGATTCTGGAAATTTAGACATCGTCCAATATCTTAGCTTTAAAGTTGAACTTAAAAAGTCCAGTAAATGTCATTATGAGACAATCTTATTTTCCAGGTAAATAGGCAGAAATAAAATACAAATCAACATGACTTAATTTTAAACATAGAAGACCTCCTTCCACCATTCCCTCAAGGTCCTAAGAACATTTTCTCCATGTTTTGGCATCAAACACAAAACTATACTTGAAAAAGAGTCTAAGAATGCTGGGTAGTATTTTTCACTTAGAAATTGATAGTGACTTTTTATAGAGGAGATTTTTCTTCTCACCCAGTTTCCCTTACAATAACTTTTTAATTGCACACTCATAATCTTTAGGCATTTACAAAAGAGACAACTTTAAGTAGGTCCATTCTGAACAGTATTCAAGAGGGTATGGTATATATGACTTGGCCTACACAAAACATTTTTACTGTATAGCTTCATAGATTTATTTCTAAGAAAAGAAGTTCATATTCTTATAAATACATGATGTCATTATGTTGCCCTGATAACATTATAGCCTTCAATGGTGCTCACATAATATAAAAGACATGAGATCTTGGTATGCTTTATATTAAATACTAGAAGCACAGATGTAAATTTTCTATCCCAAGCCAAGCATCAACAAATATAAAAGGAAGGTGGTAACTATTATCTTTAATGGCGCTGATCTTCAATAGCATGTATTATATATTTTATTCATATAATGCTATTACAAATTAGTGACAAAGCCTTACAGCCTGACAGAAACAACTAAACAAAAGTAATGTAATTTGGCTATTTGTTAGACTCTTTCACATTAAAGATAATAGTTGGATGTGTTAAAACAATTATAAATAATTTTCCTGGAAAGTAATTGGAAGTATATTTGTATTGACAGTGTATAGGATTCTTAAACTCAGTAAAGAGATTGCTGGGTTAGTTTTTTCTCCTTGTGAATCTTATAATACTAGTGACTAGTACTCAATTTTACACTATTCTGTTAATTCTCTTAATTTTCTGAAAGTTAGGAAAAATGTGATTGTTCAATTATAAGGAGAAAATGTTAGGTGTTTTTTATTTATATATGTTTACAATACTATTGTTCCAAGAAGTTCAATAGCTATTTTTCCTACACACTTTCACAGAGTGAAAATAAATCTTATCATAAAATATGTTGTTACTAGAAGCGGCATTTGTTTAAACATAATTTAAGGAAAAAGTCATCAAAACAAACTATGGGCACAGCAAGATTACTAGTACTGTAGATTTCTGCATAGAAACAATTATATTAATAATAATTGCTAATAGATAGCTTGAATGATATGTAATTGTTATGCACATCATTAGCTTTGGAAAAAAGACTTGATATTCACATGAAAGGGGATAACTGCATTTTATTTGGGTAGGTGAGAATACTAAGTCAGTAGTCTAGGCAAAGCAGAAAAGAGAAAAACTGAAAAAAAAGGTGTTTGCTGATTTCTTTAACAACAGGTAAGCATAGAGTTAGATGCTAAACTTAAAGATAGTCTTAGTAAAAAGACAGCAATTACTTTTACTGAAAGCTGTTCCATTCCCTAAATCTGCATGATTCTCAAAATTGTTTTACTAAATGTTTCAACAAAACATCAGTAAGTATATAATTTTATTATATAGAAATCAGAATACTTGCAGGATTGAGTTTTGATTTTTTGTTGTTGTTGTGGCTGATGAAATTTTTTAACATACACAAGAGGACTGATATCACTGAAAGTGGAGGAGTAAAGGCACTCCAGCACTCTATCCCTCCACAAAGCAAGTAAAGAGGTGGCAAAAGCTGTTAGATCAACCTTTTCAGAACTACGAAATCAAAAGCTTACAAAAACCAGAGGAAAGCTTGATGAAGAAAGAGGTGTTGCTTTGTAATGAAAGAGTGCTATGACATTTTAAACTGCTCAACGAGCAACTTCCAGAACCCCAGATCAGTGGTGGCAATGATGATGGCAGCCTGCCTTCATGGTGCATGTTGCTAGTATGAGAGGGAGCAATATATGCTTTATTCTCAAAGAATTGTAGCTGTGGCTTTGAACCTGTCTAGTAGCTCCCTGATGGACTGCTGCAAGAACTTCTCTTTGTTTTGCCCAACTTGGAGCATTCCCATGGCTGGGCAGCTTCCTGGACAGCTTTTTCTGAAAGCATTCAAATGCACAAGTATTGTCCACAGCAACCTGTGGCCAGAAACAACAGTTTGGACAAGCAATAGGCAGACCAAAAAGCCTGAGAAGGAAGAGGTTACACAGGGAGATACATGGGTGGAATAAGGACTTTTAAAACTCCCACATATACTTGAGAATCAAAAAGGCTACATGCAGGGTCAAAGAAGAAGTCAAAAGGGAATTTTAAAAACCTCAAAACAAATGAAAATGTAAACATAACAAAACCGATGGGATGCTTCAAAAGCAGTTCTGACAGGGGAGTTTATAGTGATAAATGCATATATTAAGAAATTAGAAGATCTCAAATAAGCAACTTAACTTTATACCTCAATAAACTAGAAAAAATAAAGAAGAAATTAGGCCCAAAGTTAGCAGAAGGAAGGAAATAATAAACATCAGAATGGAAATAAATTAAATAGAGACAAGAAAAACAATAGAAAAGATCAAAACTAAGAGCTGGTTTTTCAAAAAGATATCCAAAATTGAACAAACCTTAGCTAGACTAATGAAGAAAAAGGAGAGAAGACTCAAATAAATAAAATCAAAATGAAACAGGAGACATTACAACTGATACTATAAAAATACATAGGATCACAAGAGACTACTAGGAATAATTATATGCCAACAAATTAGTTAACCTAGAAGAAATGTATAATTTCTTAAAAACATGCAACCTATCAAGACTGAATCAGGAAGAAATAGAATATCTAAACAGACCAAAAATGAGTAAAGAGATTGAATCAGTAATCAAAAACCTCTCAATACAGAAAACCTCAGGACCAGATGGCTTCACTGGCAAATCTTACTAAACATTTAAAGAATTATTGCCAATCTTTCTCAAACCCTTCCGAAAATTTGAAGAGGAGAGAATACTCCCCAAATCATTTTATGAGGCTAGCATTACCCTGATACAAATGCCAGATAAGGACATTACAATAAAAGAAGATTATAGACCAATATCCCTGATGAATGAAGATGCAAAAGTTCTCAACAAAATATTGGTAAACTGAATAGAAGAAGACAATACAAGGATTATACACCATGACCAAGTAGGATTTATCCATGGGATACAAAGATGGTTCAATGTACACAAATCAATAAATGTGATAAACCACATCAATAGAATGGAAGATAAAAAATCACATGATCATCTCAATAGATGTAGAAAAATCATTTGACCAAATATAACATCCTTTCATGATAAAAATCCTCAACAAATTAGGTACAGAAGGAACATACCTTGACATAATAAAGGCCATATACAACAAACCCACAGCTAACATTGTACTCAAGAGTGAAAAATTGAAAGCTTTTCCTCTAAGACCAGGAACAAGACAAGAATGCCTACTCTCAGCAGTCTTATTCAATATGGTACTGGAAGTCCTACCTAGAGCAATTAGGCAAGATGAAGAAATAAAAGGCATCCAAATAGGAAAGGAAGAGGTAAAAGGATCATTACTTGCAATTGATATAATTTTATATATAGAAAATCCCAAAAACTCAATCAAAAAACTCTTGGAACTGATCAACAAATTCAGTAAAGTTGCAGGATATAAAATCAAGACAGAGAAATCAGTTGCATTTCTATGTGGTAGCCATGAGACATCTGAAAAAGAAATAAATAAAACTATCCTATTCACAATAGCATAAAAAAATAAAATACCTAGTAATAAATTTAAGGAAGTGAAGTATCTGTACAACAGAAACGACAAGACTTTGTTGAAAGCAATTGAAAAAGACACAACCAAGTGGGAAGACATCCCACATTCATGGATCAGAAGAATTAATATTGTTAAAATGTCCTTGCTACCTAAATCCATCTATAGATTCAACACAATCCCTATCCAAATTCCAATGGTATTTTCCACAGAAACAGAAAAAATAATCCTAAAATTTGAATGGAACCAAAAAGACCCTGGATTGCCAAAGTGATCATAAAAAAGAACAAAGCTGTAGGCATCACACATCCCGATTTCAAGCTATACTACAAACCTATAGTAATTAAAACAATATGTTACTGCCATAAAAATAGGCACATAGAACAATGGAACAGAATAAAGAGCCCAGAATTAAACCCACCAAGTATGGTCAATTAATATTCAACAAAGGAGCCAAAAACACCCAATGAGGACAGGATAGTCTCTTCAAAAAATGGTGCAGGCTAATTGAATAGCCACATGCAGAAAAATGAATTAGACCTCTATCTTACACCACTCACAAAAATTAACTTGAAATAGATCAAAGAATTA